TGGGAGTTCCTCAAACAGCTAGACGTAAGAGTTACCGTGGTACTCAGCAGTTCCACTCCTAGGTCTATACCAAAAAGAACTATAAACAGGGACTCAGACAGATACATGTATGCCAGTGTTCTTTGCACTATTCATGATGGCCAAGAAGTGGAAACAAACTATGTCCATCAGCAGATGAATACATACACAAAATGTGGTACACACACACACACACACACACACACACACACACACATACACACAATGGGGTGTTATTCGGCCATAAGGAAGTTCTGATACTTGCTGCAAGGATGTGAAAGTATTAGGCTGAATGAGATAATCCAGATACAACAGGATAAATATTGTCTGATTCCACTTATGTGAGGCCCCTGGATAGGCAAATGCACAGAGACAGGAGTAGAGGAGATTGCCTAGGGCTGGGGGAAGGGGCCGGGGGAGTTATGCAGAGCTTCTGTTTGGGATGGTGACAGTGAACGGCCTCCAAAACAGTGAGTTTTGGAAACAGTGGTGGTGGTTGTGCAATATTATGAATGTAATTAGTGCCACTGAATTATACACTTAAGAATGGGTAAAATGGCAAATTTTATATTATATATATTTTACCACAATAAAAAGTTTTTTTAAAAGGTCAAGAGATATTAAATATATATTCCCCGTCCAATGCTAGAAACCAAAACATTAATGACTTCGTATTGTTCTACAATTTACTTTTTCACTTAATTTTGTAGGTTGGAGATCATTTTATATAGACACATATATGGCTGCTCTTTTTTTTTTTTTTTTAATGTCTACATGGTCTTCCATCATGTGGGTAGATCACAATTTATTAACTAGTCCTCTGTTGAGGGACAAATCCAGTTTGCAATTATGAGCAAGTGATGTAATGAATAACCTTGTACATTTGCCTTTTTATAATTAAGCAAGTATATTTGGCTAGCAGGCTAAATTCCTAAAAGTAGAGTTGTAGGTTAGAGGGTATATGTATTTTTAATTTTGTTAGAGATTATACAGTTACCCTAAATAGAGGTTGTATCACCAATTTCAGGAACTATGGAACAAAAAACTAAGGGTGTATATGTTATATGTCTATGTTAAAAATAGAGTTATAACTATATGATGGGAAGTTGTGGAGTAGTAGTAAATATAAGTGACCGAAATCCTCAATTTTCATAACAGGAGGTCAATAGATAATGAAGGTCTGAAATGGATTAAGTGAGAAATAGTTGAAAAAGCATGTTATTTAGTGAGATGGAGGTAATCTTTGGAAGAGAAAGTGATTATTGCTTTTCATTTTAAGCTGTTATGTACCAATTTAAAATATGTGCACTTCTTATTGTGAGTTTTAAGAACGATATAAAATTGCCCCTGAAGTCTGCTTTCTTCTTATACCAGTTGCCAAGGCTCTGCAGGAGTTTGACCTGGCCTTAAGAGGAAAGAAGAAAAGGAAAAAGTTTATGAAGGACGCCAAGAAAAAGGGGGAGATGACGGTGAGCGGCACCTCCCTTGGAGTTGGGCTCACCCCATGGGAGGGGTCGGAGTGGCCTGGTCTGTTCCACACTCACAGCTCCCCCTTCCCACCAGGCGGAGGAGAGGTCCCAGTTTGAAATCCTGAAGGCACAGATGTTTGCCGAGCGGCTGGCCAAGAGGAATCGCAGAGCCAAGCGGGCCCGAGCGATGCCCGAGGAGGAGCCAGCAAGAGGCCCTGGTAGGCGGATGGGAGGCCTGGGGGAGCTGGTAGGGAGGTTTTCCCTGAAACCTGTGCTTATGGTCAGGGACAAAATTTGAGGGATGATGACAGTAGCCCACATCTTTTAATTAGTATGTACCAGTGTGTATAGCTGTCCCTTTATTGGTCCAGGGGATGGGGTGACCCTGTGGTTGGTTGGTGGGGAGAGCTAGGATTTTAACTCTGGCCTTTCTGACTCTGGAGCCTAAGTCCTTACTAACTGCTCCTTGGAGGAACCAGTGAAGGTAGAATGAAGTGCAGTGTTTGGACACCAGAACATCACTGAATATGGAATCATTACCCTGAGCTTAAGGGGATTTAGGAGCTTAGACCAAAGAGGATCATATTTAACCCATACTCTCTGTGTACAGCCAAGAAGCAAAAGCAGGGGAAGAAATCTGTATTTGATGAAGAACTCACCAACACGAGCAAGAAGGCCCTGAAACAGTATCGAGCTGGGTAGGATTTTAAATGATCATGGAACTCTTGATTTCTGATGGAAGCTGTAAGTCTCTCTCCTTCCCCACTCCCAGTTCTCACATGCCGATGGTGAGAACAGGAGAGAGCTGTTAAGGTACTACTATTCCTGCCTTGGAGGTGAAATAGCACATTTTTGGGTTTAGAAGTGGAATATTCTCTCAGGGGAGCGATAAGTCTTACATCTCAGGGTCAGTCCTGTGGACCCCAAAGAATCCTGGCTTGCTCTTGGGCATGTGTTGTCCTGCCCCACCTCTGCCACCCCAAGGGCGGGGACAGACTCATACTCCCAAGTGATCTTATTATACGCAGGAGAAAGGCCTCTTACAATCTTGTTTTAAAGCTGAGCCCCGACTTCCAGCAACTCATGTTATCAGGCAGAAACACATAAAGGCTTAGGACTTAGGCCCCAAAAATGCTGCATCTCAGTGACGCTGCTGCTTTGTGTGGGAGCTGGGTGGGTTGGGGTGAGACATCACTCATTTGTCCAAGAGCTTGCTCATTTCAGCGTCTCATCTTCTCTCCCACAGCCCTTCCTTTGAGGAAAGGAAGCAGTTGGGCTTGCCCCACCAGAGACGAGGAGGAAACTTTAAATCTAAATCCAGGTGATGTTGGCAGTTTTGGAGGGCCAGAGGTTGTGACTGGGATTAGAAGAAACTTTCATGGAAAAGGAGCTTCTCTTTCCTCTTTCTGGTCTTAACTCTGCTGATTTTCTTAATAGATACAAGAGGAGGAAGTAGCCAAGGATGCCTGAAGAAGTTCGTGGGGCCGCCCTTAAATCCCTTCCCTGTGGGAAGTCATTTTGGCTTGGTCTATCTTTTCTCCGTTTGTAAAAAAAAAATTTTTTAAGGCTGTTATTTGTGCATTAAAAAAAAAGTTGGGAGTGGTGGTGGTACGTAGCTATTTCCTAAGCATCTCTGTCCATCAGCCAAGGAAGGCTCCCTTCTTGCTGATTAGCTTTCATATAATATACCAAATGGAAGCTGTATTTTTTGGGGGGGAGGAAAAAAACAATCTAATTCTATATCTTCTTACCGTCTCTTCCTCAATGACAAGGTCTTCCCCCAGTCTGCTAGCTTGGCACTGCCACATACAGTTGGAATGCATAATCTTTATGCTTGTAGAGAGGCTGGGTGTGGAATGAGGAAATTCTCGTTAGAAGTTCTCTTCCAGCCTGGGCAACATAGTGAGACCCCCATCTCTTAAAGAACAAAAACAAAAAGTTCTCCTCTGTTGATGTTGCAGAACTGAGAGCTATCATTTACTGATCACCCACTGTGTGCCAGACATTCTGTGTGCTGAGCGATGTCTCATTCAACTCACTGTACTCCTTTGTGGCAGGTAGTGTTATCCCCATCTTTCCAATACAGAGAGAGAGGCTTGGGAAAGACTAACTTTCCAGAGTTGCACCACTAGGAGTTCAGGTTTTTGAAACCACCATCTACTTGAACCTACGCCCTGACTCTCACTGTTACGCTGTGGAAGTGCTGCCGGAGAAGTGGACGCTCAGAGGGACAGGAGCCCTGACGCCACAAATTAGCTCCTTGCTGTAAAAACCTGCTTTTACTCTGTAGAATGGTGGTTCTCATCCTTTTCTGATTCACAGGCCCCTTTGATAATTAGATGAAAGCTATGGGACATGCCTTGGGAAAACTGCAGTTCATGTTACATATAATTTCAGGGTGTACATGGACTCCACCCCTGCAGCTTAGAAATTATAATAGTTACCCAGTAGCACATACCCTAGACACTAAACAGTGTGTTCAACGCTATTCATTCAACATGTACTCACCATCAAATTGGTAGTAATTGATCAACACCTAAGCGCACATAAGGAAGTAACATTCATCGGGTGTCGGGCAGGTGGGAGTGGGTAGGAGGGGATGGGTAAATTCACACCTAATGGGTACGTTGCGCACTGTCTGGGGGATGGGCACACTTGTAGCTCTGACTTGGGCAGTGCAAAGGCAATATATGTAAACTAAACGTTTGTACCCCTGTAATATTCTGCAATTAAAAAAACAAAACAAAGCTATTCATTCAGGCTGCATCTAACAGTCACCAACAGAGGGTCCAATTCAGAAAATAATGGCACAACTGCACGATAGAGTGCAGTTCAGACTTAATGTCTTTATGCACTTTATAGACAGCAGGCCATTAGGCTAAAAAAACCAAATGCAGAACTGTGTACTTTTTTTTTAAAACAGGGTCTCACCCTGTTGCCCAGGCTAGAGTGCAGTGGCATGATCATAGCTCGCTACAACCTCAAACTCAGGCTCGGGATACTCCTGCCTCAGCCTCCTGAGTAGCTGGGACTACAGGTGCACGCCACCACAGCCAGCTGATTTTTTTATATTTTGTAGATACAGGGTCTGGCTATGTTGCTCAGGTGATCAAACTCCCGGGCTCGAGTGATCTTCCTTCCTTGGCCTCCCAAAGTGCCAGAATTACCAGCATGAGCCACTGTACCCAGCCTGTGTATTTTTTTTAAGGGATATACATTGCATATGTGTAGATTATGTCTGGGAGGACTCATGAAGCTAACAGGGTTGTCTCTGGGGAAGGAGACGTCATTTATACCTTTTTGTACAAGTCGAAAAAAATTTTTTTACCACAGGTAGAAATGGGCTCACCAGCTAAATAAATAAAAAAGCCATGCCACAAAAACAGAATGGTGTCATCATAGGAAGCACCTGCTCTGTCCCCATCCTTGTTGTCTTCAGCTGCCGGAGCTTCTAAAAGTTGAGGACAGACATGGATCATGATTTTCTCAATCATCATTTTTATTAATCGGCTTTATAGGCTAAAGTGCATAGTAAAGACAAAAAAGGAAAAATGGCATACATAGGAAAGGGACTTTTTTCTTGCCAACATTAGAAAGGACCTGAGATACCTAAAGTGTCTGTTCTAAGGAACACTGGACCGAGGAAACGCGTACGCAGGCGCAGGCCTGGAGCTGGCTTCTGGCTTGGGTCTGGGGCCTGCAGAAGCTGCTGGCATGCTAAACCTGCCCAGGCGAAAGCCGCGCGAGGGTGTTGGGATGGAGGATCACACTTGGGATAGGTGCTGCTGGTACTGAATGCGAGTTCAACTCCATTCAGGGCCCAGGGGGACCAGCACTACTATCGGAACCTCTCCTATGGCGGGTAAAGAAACCTCCACCATCCCAAAGTGCAAGTCACAGGAAAGGGTACAGGGGTCACTCCTTAGTTAGCCTGGGCCTGCTGCATAAGCTCCCAGATGTGGGCAGACCCACTTTCCCCTCTCAGTGAGTATGTAACTGGGTCAGGGCGAGTTGGTAAAGTCTTTGTCTTATTACATGCCTCCTGGAGGGAGGGTGCCTGAGGAGGGCAGGAGGGATTTTTGTGCTCCTTGAAGGGATAAGCAGTTCATGAACAACTCCTCTGGGCCGCTGTTAGAATGAGAGTTAGCCTGCAAGTTAAGGCCTGGCGATTAGAATCAATCAGCTTCACCAAGCTTACACTCTGTGCCTGGGGGACACCGTAGAATATCTGACTAAGTAAGCACCCAGAGATAGCACTAGGTGGCCCCAGGTGGAAACCCCAAACATGTTTCAGGGAGTCTGTCCACTAACTTGCAGAAGAGAAAAAGGTGAGATCTGTTAACTTTGCTCTCAGTTCTGGAGGTAAAGTGCTTACTCTAGCGCAGGGGTAAATCTAGAAACATGTGGGCAAGCCCTAAAAGTGGATCCTTAAATAGATGCTAATACTAAAGGATAATAATAAAAAACAAACTTCGGTTCCTTCATAAGGGAGCCGAGCCCAGCCATATGGTGGCCGGGGCAAAAGGCAGCAGTGTGCAGCATCTTCCTACATCATCCTCCGGATCTCCTCAAAGTTCATCAGGTTGTTGGCCGTATCAGACCAGGCAGCATGCTGGGCTCCATCCATCTCAGAAGCAAGCTGGTTGCTTCTTTCCAGAGTATGATGTGAGCCGCCAATCACCTCCTTACAGTCTGGACACGTTCCCCTCTCCATGGCTCCCCCGCAATCGCTAATCACATAGATATGGCCATTGGGACACTTGAACCAATGACCACGAGGATAACCCATGGCCTTGACGATCTGCACTCGCTCTTCCTCTGAGATGCCCAGGCCAGAGCAGGGAAGGGTGGCTTTCAGAGCTTCCATCTTTTTCTGCACAAGCTGTTCATCCTCTTGGGTGAACTTACACGTTTTCTCAAGGATATGCCGGATACTAAGGATCTCTGCTGCTAGCCTACCTGTCACCTTCCCCTGTGCCATCTTGCAGCGTGTCAGGAGGTTCACCAGGTATGTGAGTCTCTGGATTTCACTTTGGAGGTCACTCAGTTCCTGGCTGCTGAAGCTCAAGCGCTTCTTGGCCAGCCATGCGTGGACCTGGTCTAGTCGAGTCCTCACTTTTTCTTGTTCTAAGACATGCACCTTTTTCAGGGACTCCAACAGGTTGGCCAGGTGATCATAAAAGCTGATATAATTCTCAACCAGGCCCAGGTCCTTCACTGACAGATTTTTCTGGGCCAGCTTCTCCTTTAGCATTAGGAAGTCTTCAGGAAGCAGCTGGTGGAGGAGACTCTTCCTCTCCAGCAGGGCCTTAAGCTGTTCCTGGCTGGTTGTGATTTCCCCCGCTGAGCCCTGGATCTTTTCCTTGATGATTTCAATCTCTTCCAGCCGCTGTTTTATGTTGGTTCCATACCTCAGGTTTTTGCGGATAGGCACCTGGCAGATAGGGCAGACTTTCAACTTGATGGCAATTTCGTCACCCTGCTCATTCATGTAGTGGTCTAGGGCTTGCACCTCAAAGATGTGGCTGCAGTCTTCCAGCTGCACAAAGCGGGCATCAGGTTCATCCTCAGAGCCAAAGAAGATTTGGGTGACCTCTTCCACGTGGCAGACACGGCATTTCTTGGGGCATGGCTCCCCACAAAGACCAATGCAGGGGTGGCCACAAGCCAGCAGCTTAGTACAAGGCACATAGCATGGGGGTCGGTTGCAGGGCTCAAAGCAGAGTTTGGTGCACTGGTAGTGCTGGCAGCGCCAGACACAGGGTTCCACACAGGGGCTGCACAGCTCCCCACACTTCTTCTTGCATTGGCTGTGGACGCAGCGGTTCTGACAGGTCCGCTGGCAGGGCGGGCACTCGCCAATACATGGCTCCTGGCACTTGTGTGAGCAGATGAGCAGGCGCTTACAGGGTTGTTGACAGCGCTCATGGAAGCGCCCTTCGAAGCAGCTGTTGCAGGAACCTGGGCAAGGATGCCCGCAGTCCAAGATGGCGCCACATTTGGTAGTGCACTTGACTGGCAAACCATATGCTAGGTCCTCCACGTTACCACATTTCACCTGTTGGCTATGCCCACACTTGAGTTTCACGGTGACCATTCTTGAACACAACCGCACACAATCCTCACCACATGGGTGGCTGCATTTGTGCCCACATCTCAGAACCTTGGGGCAAGGCTCTTGGCAGCAGAAATCTGATGCAGGCATGGAACAAGGGACCATTTGTTTATGGCCACACTGAGGAATGGTTTTGGGCACCTTCACCTGACAAGGCTGACACTCCTGGAAGCAAACAAGGGGGCACCGGTGCCTCTCCTGGCAGATGACCTTTTGGCATGGTTTCATGCACTGGAACTCCTTGTGTGAAGAGTCATAAGGGTGGCAGGCACGGGTACAGACGTGCCCACAACCCAGCCGGAACTCACAAGGCAGGCTGCAGCCTCCTTCAGGCACTTTTTGGAAATCAGAAGCTTTGGATACTAAGGTGTGGGTATCGGGGTGGTTCTGGCAGCAGAGCCGGAGCGTGTGGCCTATTTGATTATTCTCTCTAAGTGTATGGATGATCTTGCTCCACAAGGGCACCTTGGCCAGCATCTGCATGTTCCCGATGCAGTACATCCCCTTCTTGGCTCGGGACAAGGCCACGCAGATGCGGTTGGATATCTGGAGAAAACCCACCTTGCCTTCCTGGTTGCTCCGCACTAGTGAGAGGAGGATGATGTCATTCTCTTCCCCTTGGTATTTATCCACGACGTGGACCTTTACGCCAGCAAATGTCTTGGCAGGCATGAGTTTGCGCAGGCAGAAGAGCTGCCCAGTATAGGTGGTGAGGATGGTGATCTGGGAAGGCAGGTATTCCTGGCACAGGAAATATTTGCATAGCTCTACCACAAAGCGAGCCTCGTGTTGGTTCTGATGGCTTTTGCCTTCTTGGATTTCCTGTTCAGCAAAGTTGTGTTCTACAAAGAAAAGGTTGGAAGACACCCCCTGAAAAGGAAAAGAACTGGCATGTTAGAAGGTTCACCCATTGCACTTGTTTTTCTTCCTTCCTTCACGTGCATTGGCCCCTGCTCCAGAGAGAGCTCGGAAGGTTTTTGTACCCTCCGCATCACTACCTTTAATTCTGAAGTTAGTCACGACGTGCTTTATTTTGAGGCCATGGCAAATTATGAAATGGATAAAGAATTTATATCTGTTTTAGTTTTTAAGATACTTGTTAATAATATTAATATTTAAAAAAGCCACCCACAATCCAAACATTATAACCAAGGGAACAAGCAGCTGCTATGACAATGAAGTCGATGGCAGAGCAGCTAACTCATTGAGCAGTGAGCACTGTGCTGACTGCTTTACAACCATTACCTCCTCAACGAGTCATGGTGTGAGGCAGGGGCCATTATTCTCGTGGTTCAGAAGATCTTGATACTCAGAATTCTTATATAACTTGCTAAAGGTTACACAGCTACTAAGTGGCAGAGCTGGGATTCAGAAACCCAGGTCTGTATTCTCTTTTTTTTTTTGTTCTGAGACACAGTCTCGCTTTGTTGCCCAGGCTAGAGTGAGTGCCGTGGCGTCAGCCTAGCTCACAGCAACCTCAAACTCCTGGGCTCAAGCAATCCTTCTGCCTCAGCCTCCCGAGTAGCTGGGACTACAGGCATGCGCCACCATGCCCGGCTAATTTTTTCTCTCTCTATATATATTTTTAGTTGTCCAGATCATTTCTTTCTATTTTTAGTAGAGACGGGGTCTCGCTCTTGCTCAGGCTGGTCTTGAACTCCTGACCTTGAGCGATCCACCTGCCTCGGCCTCCCAGAGTGCTGGGATTACAGGTGTGAGCCACCGCGCCCAGCCTGTATTCTCAATCTCTATACCACTCCTCTTCCTAATAACCAGCTTTTTAAAAAGCTGGCTCTATTCCCTTCCGAAAGCCTTTTTTCATCTTGAGGAAAATACAGCCTTCTAGGTTGCTGACACTGTCAAAGAAAGATCAGGTAAGACAGACTCACCTTAATCTTCTCATACTTAAGAACTGAAGGATGATTCTCCAGATCCTGGTAAATGTGGGGGGTCAAAAGGCGGGCAATTTCAGGGCGCATGCGGTGCTGAAACAACACATGTATGTCAGTAGAAACATGGGCAGAGGACAAATGGACAATTTCTCTAAAGACTACGTTGCTGGTAGAAAATCTAGGGCAGTCAATTTGAAAAGAATAATTGGGAGAAAGAGCATAATATAAATAGCTTCAACAAAAACTCAACAAAATACTATGGTATTTTAAAACAGAAAACAGTAAGTTTGACAGAGTCACTTCATGACTAAATCAGTTTTATTTTTTATGACAACTCTCTTGCTGGCAGTTGACAGGTTCCTAGGAGCCTTTTCCTGGGCATTTGGAAATAACAGAGGCCCAGCTTCTCACCTGGTAATTCAGCCGGACAAAGGGAATGTTCACTTTCACTAGCCGTTCAAAAAGGGACACCTCAAGGTTGAAGTTCTTGGCCAGATCATACACGTTGGCACTGGGCCGCAGCTAAGAGGAGAAACATGGCTGAGAATTCTCCACTGAAAACGTATTTTAACCATCCATCCGTCCATCCATCCATCCGTCCATCCATCCAGCAAATGGTTTCTGAGTGCCTCCTAAGTGCCAAGTACTATTCTAGGTGCTGACGGCTTAAGGATTAGTAGTGACAAGAGTTAAGGATTAATAGAACTAAGGGGGATGTGAGAGAGTGTCTAAAGTTGGGTTTTGTTTTTTAGCTAGGCCTCTCTGAACAGTGACATCTGAGTAGACGCCAGCATGGAGGAAGTTGCCAGTTATTCAGTCACTGGACGAGCCAGCCCTGAGGGCGTAGAAACACCATGAACAAATGAGATGGAGTCAGAGAAACAGGCTGAAATCTGATCACATCAGCCTTTGCAGGCCACTTTAAGAAGCTTGATTTTTATATTAAGTGCAATGGGAAACCACTGGAGAGTTTTAAGCTGGGAAGTGACATGATCTGATCTACCTTTTTTTTTTAAAATTCACTTTGGCTCCTTTATGGAGAATGGATTAGGGGGCAGCGAAAATGGAAGCAGGGAGCCCGGGGCGCATGCTGTTGTAACAGTCCACTTAAGAGGCTACAGTGACTAGGAAAATAGCAGAAGGAATGGGAGAAATAGATGATGCTACCTCTAAAATACACTCCAAATCTAACAGCACCTATTCTTAGATTGAACGTGGGAGTCGAGGGAAAGGAATCATAAAAAGCCACTAACAAGCTTGAGGACTGAAGCAGAGAGGCTAGGGTCTTCCTTTCTGATCCCACCCCCTAAAGCCAGCCCCTCTTCCCAGGGCTCCTAATTTACCTGCTGGTGGTCCCCAATCAGAATGAGGTGCTGGCAAGCTTTGCTCAACGTGGCGATAGTGTGGGCCTCAAGGACTTCGGCAGCTTCTTCCACTATGACAATCCGAGGCTCCACCTTCTGTAAGATCTGACGGTATTTGGCAGCACCTCAAGTGAGGAAAGAAGACGGAGTCTCCTCTGAGCTGAGGCACAGCACCCACAGGGTCACTGGTCCTCTAGGAGTCCCCTTTTGAACCTTTCCTGAACCTGGGTCAGTGACAACTGAGGCCTCATATTCATCCAGAGCTGTGGTGGCCATCAAGTGAGAGAACGCGTGCTGGGTGGTCTCCAGAGCATCATACTCACGTGGGTCACTGTTGGGGTTTCAAACTCAGAAAAGCCAAGTGGGTGAATTTCGCCAAGAGTTCCCAAAATATGGGTTACTTACAATAGCTTTTCATGGTATTTTCCTCTAACCTACTAAAGAAGCTTCTCTTTACTGCCCTAGATAATCTATCAGAATCTTGGCACCAAAGTGAACTTGGTTGGAACAGGTAAATTTCCCCACACTCTCTTACCTGTGGTTGTCATTCCTACAACCTGGGCATCTTTAAGGATGTAGAGGTCTTCCTGGAGTCTCAGCTCAGCCAGTCTCTCTGCTGATGTGCGGTACTGGTGTTCATAGTTGAGGATTTTCCGGCGGGTATCGGCCTGGTACATCTGTAGCCACAGCCTGGAGAATGGGAAGAACCAGGGAAAGGAAGCCATGTGCTCTTTGAGAAGGTGGAGGAACCCCCTTCAGTGTGCCCGGTGTATGAAGTGAACCCTGAACCCCTTAGGAGCTTACAGGCCACAGCGACAGTGGGGAAGGAGAAGGGAGAGACCCAGATGGACAGAGACTCCAAAGTCCAAAATGCCCAACAAAAAGATGTGCAAAGTGGTCAGGAGCTACGGAAGGGGCTGGGATAAGGAACAAAGGTTAACTATTAGGAAAAGAATAAGACTTCAAAAGCTTCACGAAGAATTTCTCATTAACTTTTTCCTGTACCATCCCTGCCTGAGTCCCCTCCCCTTGCCTAATTCTCCACAGAGTACATTTCACAAGTAAAATAGATAGTGTCACTACTCTGCTGCAAAATCTTCCAATGGCTTTCTGCTGCTCTTCAGATAAAATCCATGCTCCTCACCTCAGCCATGTGAGGCCCTGCCCAGTCCAGCCCCTGCCCCCCTCTCCTCCAACCTCACTGGCCACCTCTCTCTGCACCACAGCTGAGCTGGCTGCCTTCCTTCAGTTTCTCAGACAGCCAGGCTCCCCCCCATCTTGGCCTTTAGCTATGTGGTCCCCTTGACCCCCATCTGCTCCCCCTTTCCATTGACCTTGATAATACCTGCTCATCCTTCAGATGTTGCCTCCAAGGCTACTTTCCTGGATACCAGACTAGCTTAGAGCCCATGTAATATTCTTAGTACTCTCTGTTCTTTTCTTTCTTAGTGTTTATGCCCATTTGTAACTTTTTATTTGTGGAATTATGTGATTAATTTGTCTCCTTGGATGACTCTTAAGCTTCATGAAGGTAAAGCAAGTGTCTTTTCTAGCCACGGCTGCATCCCTGGCACTCAGCTCAGTGGTGGTGCTCAACTAGTTAACATTACTACAAGTGTCGAGGGTGGGGGGGAGGGGGGTGTTCTGGGAGCAGAAAAGCAGCTCCTGGGGAAATTACAGGGGCTGGGCTGGGCTGGCTGGGCATGGGGCACAGTACCTATAAAGCTGCCAGCGAGAATTGAGGTCCAGCTGCCAGATGTCCTGGATCTCATCAGCCTCGGCCTTGGTCATGGCGTTCAGTTTACGAAGCTCATCCTTTACTTTATTCTTCATTTTCTTTTTCTGTTTGCGCTGGATCTGTAGACATCAATACCAGGCAAGGAGCCATCTGAGCAGAGGCAGGCCTAGTTCTATGCCCAAGGTGGGGGCCGCAGCACATAAGAAAAGAGGCTGCCATGCCTGATGAACTTCAAGTGTCTCACTGTCCCAACAGCTATTCCGTTGCAGTGGTTAAACAAGGGCTCTGGAGCCAGTTTGCCTGGGTTCAGAGCCACACCCTACCTCTTTAGGTTGTGGGATGTAGAGCAAGTTACTTAACCTCTATGTCCCTCAGCATCCCCTTCTATAAACGGGAATAATAACAGTACCTCTTCATAGGATTGTTGGCTTTACTGAAGAAGTAAATGCATGGAAAGCACAATAGTGCTGGCACTAGTTATCATTAGACATCTTTTGACCATAGTCTGTTTCTCATTCCTAAAATGTATGTGTCATGAAAGTAGTGGGGGTGGGTCTCTCCTGTTGAATGCTGTACTACCAGTGTCTAACAACTGGTACTGAGCACAGGACTTGCCACAGGGCCTGCTAAAGTGGTCCTAATGCCATTGTATCAACACAGGACCTTTAACAGTGCCAGAGTGAAAGGCACTATTTATGAGAAACGCTCTCTCCTGGCTCTGTCACTGAGTCTGAGGCCACGAACTTTTAGAAAGATTGGTATATGAGACAGATTTCACCACATTAGAGACTTTCCCCCGCTTCAAAACCAAATAAACCCACTCCTCCTGATGCCACATGGCAGAGAGATGTCCGGTTCATGCTTCCAGGGATTGAGATGATGGCTCTGCCCACCACATGTAGTGATGCTGAACTGAACTAGATCAGGTGAAAGCCAGCATTCGGGCGAAAACTGTAACCAAAGTTGCCCTTGAAAGCTGCTAATTGTCAATGAGGTTTACAAATTGTTATTTTGAGTACCTAGTCCTCTATCGTCATAGTAATACATGGCATGGTTTAGTGTCAAATTCCAGGGTGAATGAAGGATGAGTATTCCATCTAGCCTGGAGGGTCTCCTTCATTGTTTTACTTTAATCCTCTAAAATCTTAACGTACGTTCACAGACTTAATCGAAGTAGAAAAAATAACACCCCTGAAGGCACAAAGCTCTGAGATCATAAAGTGTTTGGTTAAGTATTTGACCCGACTCATATGTGTTAAATTCTTCTAAACGTTCTAGAGAAGCAGTTGGCTACCTGCTTCCTGTCTTTGTAAGTTGACATTTCTTGCCAAGGCCCCTCTGAATGTTACGGCAGGGCTGATTGGGAATAGACCGAGAGATATATTCAGAGATTTTGGCAAAACATGTTTTATACTTCACGCTGGCCGGCAATTGGCCCAGAAGGGAATTTGGTCTCCCCAAATTCTGAGCACCAGACAAAGAGCATTGCAGTCTTTTATACACTCTGTTTAAGGGGGAGGGGCACGGTTACAACAGGGTTAACTTTAGTGAGGCAGGGTCCTAAGCTACTTTACAGCCTGGTACATTAATTGCTACAGGTGATTTATGAGGGCGGCAGCTGCGGGGCGGGGCGCTGGGGAAGGTTGCAGGGGAGGAGGGGGCCCAGGTAAGGATTTCACAAGGGAAAAAGCCCGCTAGTGGAATTTCTAAGAATTCCACTTTAGTGGAATTTTCCAATCTTCCACTTCATGAAGAGCTGTAATTTTTATACCCTGGGGAATCAGACCCATTTTTATACTGAGGGGTAGGTTGTAGTATGGGTATATTAGCTAATTGTGAGAAGGAAGTGAATATACTGTATTAGAAGAGGGGGAAACCTGAAGTGGTCAGAACACTCTCGGGCCTCTTTCAACAGAGTCTAACCCACAACCACCTGGCAGTAATAACTGAACTCTAGTTTCCCATTCTGTTGGGGCTTTCAGGGGCCCCAAAGAAGTGAGTTTACCTTCCACTCTCCTGCAGCTTGCTCCTGTCCAGCTTCTGTCCCGGGGCCATAGTGGTCTAGCCTCAAGGCCAGAAGCATTTTAGCCAACTCCTGGTCTGCCCCATTCTCTTCCTTCTTCCGACGCCTCGGCCTCACCACCTCTTCCTCCTCAATCACCCGGTCTGCTTGAATCAAGTCGGCCTCCTCTGCGATCTCTATCAGCGAGCCCTCCTCCTCTCCTTCTTCCTCCTCCTCCCCTTCTGCCTGGGCTAAGAAAGGAAAATAGGCAGGACAGAAATGGAGACAGACTCTTGAAGCCAAGGGATGGAAAAGGGCACCTACAAGAGCTCAGAGGCATAAAGACATTCCCAAGGGTTTAAGTAGTTACTTCTGGGAAAGAAAACTGGGAGGAATGAGAGGAGAAGGAAGATTTAGGTTTCCTTAAATACTTTTTGTTATATG